ATCAGTATTTGTGTACAGTATGTGATGATCAAATCAATATTATTAGCACGTTCATCATTATAAGTCATAATTATTCTTTGTGTCTCTTACCCAACTACTCTGTAACCCCTTCCCCCTCCCCCTTTCCCACCTCTAGTAACTATAGGTCTGTTCTCTCCTTCTGAAAGTTCAACATTTTATTGTGGTCTGTCCTTCCTTCCTTCCTTCTTTCTTTTCTCTCTTGGCTCCCACTTATGAGTGAGGACATGTAGAATTTCTATTTCTGTGGCTGGCTTATTTCACTTAACATAATTTCTTGAAGCTCATGCATGTTGCTGTGAATGGCAGAATTTCATTCCTTTTTATGGCTAAGAAATATTGCATTGTGTATATATGCCACATTTTCCTTACCTAGTCATCCACTGACAGACTCTGCTGTCACCTGGTTCTCAGACTTCCCAGTCTCTAAAACTGTAAAAAATAAATTTCTGCTCTTTATAAATTACCCAGTTTCAGTTATTTTATTATAGCAGCACAAATGGAATAAGACAATGCTTTAAGTGAAATGTTCCCATTTATTGTGGAGTACATGCAAGTAATAGAGCATGAAACTTTGTGATTCTTTTGAAGATTGAGGAGGTCAGGGTTCAGTTGATGCTGTAGGTGAGGACTGCTTGGCTACTTATTGGTTTCACCTTCAACATCCTGTCCTACGTACAAAATGTATATAAAATCAGAGCAGAGGCATTAAAAGTGGAAAATATTTTGCTAAAGTGAGCCTTATTCACAACTTCTTGAGTTTGTTAAAACCATATAAATTAGGAATGATGACTTTTGATTAAGATCATTAAAAAAGAGTCAAGAGAAACTCTCAATGAGTGCAAAATAAACAGTTTTAGGTCATGCATAAAACATAAAAAAACAAAAATGAAAAAGAACTGCTGACATTTTTCCTTCTTCTTCCTCTTTGGTTAAAAAAGGCTGGGGAAAGAACCTGAGCTAGGATTCTGAAGAACCACCATTTATTTCTAACAGTATTTATTCTAATTACTGTCTTGGCTATTTAATTTTTCCCTCTGTGATTAGAAATCACAATTTCTACTTGAAGTTTGTTGTAAGCAAACAAGTCATGGAATATGAAAGTGATTTGCAAACAAAGTCATGGATGCACATGGGACATTTATACAGGAAAGCAGGACACAGGTATTAGAGAGCCCAGGCTCACCTTCTGTCCATGTAACCTTGGCAGCCATACAGAACTCTCCAAGTCTCAGGTTTCTCACCTCTAAATTAGATTGTTTTGAGTGACTTCTAATGTCTTTCCAAATCTGAACTCTTCCCTAATTTCTAGACTCTGCCATAGCTTCACATAGGCAGATTTTTCCCTTCATAATTTGTCAATCTAATATTGGATTCACATGACTGAAATACATACCAGATTTTAAATCTCATGGTTTTTATTCCAATTGAAACAAAAATTATTTCCTTTGATAAGAAAAATTTATATAGTAAAAACGACTGAGTAGAAGCCATCTTTGGCACTTGCCTGGAGGACCGCTCTTCCCCCACAACTTTTCTGTTTTTGATTATTTCGCTTTATAAAGCCCAGTTTTAGAAGGAGCATATTTTCTGGATAAGATGATTGTCATAGTTGTAAATTCGGACAAAGGTACTTAAGAAAAATGTGAAGAATTTGAAGCCAAATGGTACTATATCAGAAATCTGAATCTGCCTAAAAAATAATTTAACTAATTTCATCATGTAAATGCAAATTTCAGAGGTAAATGCTCTTTTTAAAGAAAACTTTTATCAGTCTCTCTTAGCACTTAAATGGGCACAGAGTGGATGTCAGTGTATGAGAAAGTATATGGGTTTGTGTGTGGCTTGGAGCAGGAAATCAGGCAGGTTTGGCTTAAATCCTACTAGATTTATCTATAGATATTTTGGGAGAGACTAGATTGAACTGTGTACATATTTGAGTTTAGACTTTATAAAACTCTCAGCTTTACTGGACTTCACTGTAAAAAAGGAGGAAAATCGAAAATGTTCTCATTGTCCACAAATGCCACAGCAGTTGTTCCCACACCTACTTGGTAGCTTCCAATGCCAAGGGAGATTTCAATATCAAGTAGTTGTTTATCAGCAAATGTGCCTAAAAATAACTTTAATGATCTTTGTAGGGAAGCAGATGCTCTTTTTTAGTTCCAGATGTTTCCTTAGTATGACATGGAGCCTGGTTACAACACCCGTGTAAAAGTAAATCATGCTGGGAGTTCCGGTCAAGATGGCAGAGTAGACAGTCCCCAGCATCACTCTCTCCCACTAATCAACCAGTTTACAACTATAAAAAGGTAACATTAGGGCCGGCCCGGTGGCGCACTGCTACAGTGTGCTGCTTGGGAGCGCGGCGGAGCTCCCGCCGAGGGTTCGGATCCCACGTACAGACCGGCCGCTCACTGGCTGAGCAAGGTGCGGGCGCGACACTAAGGGTTGCGATCCGTTGCCGGTCACGAAAAAAGACAAAAAGGAAAAAAAAAAAAAAAAAAGGTAACATTAGCCAAGCTGGGGCCACTGGAGCTCAGGGAAAGAGGAGGAGAGACCTATGGAGTTCATGAAGTAGGGAGAAACCAGTATGAGAGAAAGAAAAAACTGCTGACTGTTTTGAGCTGTGGCCGCTTTAAGGCTGGAACTGCTGAGCACATGGAGCAGGAGCCGGCAGGAGCTGGCAGAAGCCACAGCTGTGCCCCTCAAATGGAGTTACTTGGAGGTGGCAGGGGAGAAGAAGACCTTGGTGGCCCCCAGGCCAGCAAGACCACTAATAGGGTTCCCATGGACCCACACAGGAGTGAGGAGCCAGAATAGCTGGAAAAAGGGAGCCATTCAGAGGCCAGGGAGTCAACGTAAGAAACCAGCACAGGGCCCGTCCCATGGGAAGTCTTTGGAGCACTGGTGATTGGGGAGACAGGCCCACTGGGAGAACACTGGGGCAAAGCAAGGGCAGCCAATCCACCCCCCAGTCAGTGCAGGACCACTCAGAGGAGACTGGTCAGGAATGCAGAATTGCATGGGGTGCAGTTTGATGAAAAAACTCAGGCCCAGATCAGAGTTTCTATACAACCCAGGTGCAATGGGTCTCTGAAGAGCCGGAAGTACCAGTAAGGTCAACCATTAAATCCTGAGCTGCACAAAAAGCCTTCCCTAGGGAAACAGCAACAAAGCAATTTAGCTCAACCACACAGCTCAAGTACTGGTTCCCACAGGAAGTTCCCCCATTTTAGAAGTAAGCAAAAGACAAAAAATTAGTTCTGGCCCAGGCACACCACCAGTGCCTTGGGGCCTGCCAGGGCACATGAGGCATGAAGCCAGGGACAGGACTCCCACTCACAACCAGGCACACTGCGCCAGTGCCTCAGGGCCCGCCTGGGGTCCTGAGGCATGAAGTGGGGACCAGATACTTTCCACAACCAGGCACACTGCCAGCAACAAGGAGCATGCCGAAAACAGATGCCCAAAACAGCACCTCCATGTGGGTGGCCCACCACAGCCACCACAATAACCATGGCTGCTGCGAAAGTGGCTAAATGCCACAACCACCATGCAGATGGTCCACCAGCCACTGGAGTTCATTGACACAAGAAGAGTCACCAGCAGAGATAAAGAAA